ATCAAGCATTTCCGTCTGTTTTTGGGTACAGCGTAAATTAAAAGTGCAGCTAAATAACTGTAAACACAGAGAACATGGTGTGAAAGGTCAGGCTTGTGAAGTTTCCAACATGCAAAAGTCAGTCAAATGTTCTGGAAACCCCAACGTTCTTCCAGAACGCGTCGTTCTATTCTTAGATACTTGCGAAGTTGTGTCTTGATCGTTATCTACCATGAATTGCATCTTAGTTTCGAGGACTTTTTGGTCCGATTGTGTGGTGAGACTGTCAACATTAATGGGGTTTACTTCTAAGAAGGAGGCTTCTAGCAAGTCGATCGTGACCGTTTCTTTATTATTATTATTATTATTATTATTATTATTATTCACAAACATCTTATGGGTAAAGAAGTGTTGGGAAGAAACCATTTCGAGATTCTTCAAAAATGCAATAATACACAAGTTTCAATAATATCAGCATTATATTTGCCATATTTAAAAAAAGGAAAAAAATATAATAATGACAAAAGAATAATAATAGCAAGTCAGGTTCTGTATAATTGATAAGAATATTGAGTGGACTTTAAAGAAGGAAATGGGGAAAATGAGGGAATGGAAATAAGGGAGACGTGAAATACGTAAATAGTTTAACAGGTGTGTTTGTGAACACGGAACAAGGAAAAAACAACTATGTACGTATCGTCAAATTACTAACAAAATAAATAAGGAAGATAACTTAGTTTCGTGATTAAGGACTTAGTAGGGTCCTTAGTATTCAGCTTCTAGGGGTCAACATTTTTAGTCGCGACCTACGAAAACGTGAGTATTAAGTCGTTAAACAGAGAGAACAAACACACTAGCTGATTGCGGTCGAGCGCACGTAGATCTGACTGAACCCACCGCGTTTGTGAGTCTGCTCGTGCGGGAATTAAGATTTACATGCACTGCAGAAGATAAAGGATTTGTAGCAGCATTGAGCCCCAATCACACGGCCCTTGAAGTAGAGCACACAACTACCAGGAAGTCTTACATTTCACGTTTGACACTTGGAAAATGTCAAAATAGATGAGTGCGTGAACAAAATCGAGACGGCATGGCTCCACCATGCAAGCATTACGATTTTATACCATCCCTCCCCTTTTGTAATGAACATATTTTAACTCTAGCCCAAATATGTTCCTTAAATGTTCGTAAAAGCTATACTGACTATCACGAAAAGATGGTTGGGTACAGATGAAGAGGTGCCCCCTACGTAAAGTTTTTTAAGTTAGATAGGCATATCATAGCAAATTCAGTGTTAGGTTAGGTCTATTAGTCTAGTAGCACAGATAGGTGCAATAATATCAACGCATACGTACATTCTTCAAGCATATGAGAACACCGAGCACCGTTTTTCATCAGTAACGTCCCTGATAAATACCGCTCCTAGCCATTGTGTGAAACATTCCACACGTGTCTGGAGATAAGATTATCCATTTGAACATGGTCAGGGTTCCACCTAGTCTTGATGAAGACGGTCGAAACGAACATCAAGAGTTGCAAAACAGCCTAGGGGACGTTTGTTGTGTCCAGTCACCTTAGATTTCTGCCCGCTTACACAGGAGCATGCCCACTTTCCCACGTTTTTAATAACACCCGGCCAGTGAAATCGACCTGTCATGAACCGGATGGCTGCCCCGACACCTAAGTGAGAAAATTTGTGAAGCGTATTGAAGACACTGAGTCAATAGTGTTTCGGCACGATTGGACAATCCTTACCTGTTGACATGTCACACATTCAAGTTTCCTTACCTGTTACTATCTGTCTACTTTGTAGTCTCAGAGTTATTAAAGATAACTCGTTCTGAATATCAGTGTCTTCTTGAAGCTGAGCGAGTTCAAGAAGGTCGATTCGTTAGAAATTGTTCAAGGAAATTATAAGAGACAAGACGTCCGCCACTACATCAACGACAGGGATGGTTTTCGCATTCAGTCACCGATAGTCACCAGTTGGACGCCAATCATTGCTGTCATTTTAGGAACTGTTTGATGGTCGGATATTTCATAAGACTATCATGTGGTCTGTTACGTCCGTGATCTGTCTACTCACTTTTGATGCTGAGGATAACTAGTCTAATCTAGATTAAGACCTTGACGCGATGGACTGAGCGGCTTAACCTCGAGGCTAGTGAGCGTGAGTTCAAAGTGGGGTAGAGAGAAGAAAACTATCATATCACCTGATTGGCTGACAAGCACGCGTGTGAGAGAAGACATGTCAACTGGAACACTACTCGATTTATTCTCAATTCCGATCAGGCTCCCGATTTGCCGATTTCAGACCAGTGTAAAAAGATACATGATAAAATAGATGACTAACCTGACCACAACGTACAATAGTTAGGAAAATACAACTATGTCTAGAACTGAGAATTAGCGTAGAGAATAGTGTACAAAATAATAAGTCCAAATTACAATAGCTTTGGAACAAAAAGGGCTATGGCAGTGAATAATACATCAAACGAAAGCTTATATTCTGCAGAATAGACTAGGGACAAAATTAGGTGTTAATGTTTTACAAGCTTTGAACTAACTGAAATAACGTCCTGAAAAATAGCTTCCGTATTTTGTCAAGGCTTCGTGTTTCTCTGTTCACACCACGGTCGAATTCGTTTTTTGCCAAGCTCAGCTTTTTGGGAACTAATTGGTGCGCTTCCGAGAATACTGGCAGTCTTGTATTTGTGATGTGAAACATTTCTGGTCGCACATGGGAATTTCGGTTGCGTTTGCTATATCTCGTCGTTTGTACCGTGTATTTTTAATAGTGTGGATCTGTTATACGCCTTTCTGTGACGAGGGACAATCTTCAACAGGAAATGAAGTTACGCAAATAAATGACTTAGTGTTTCCGTTTACTAACCTCTGTTTCTGAGTATCAATGAGTAGATTATGATGGATGTGAGGACTATGAGTGGGAGTAGTTCAGAGATATGTGATTTCGTCCTTCAGTCGCTTGACGTTATTATTTGACAGAGTAAACCTGATGTTGGGGGTACTGGTGATCTACACACTCCAACCGATAGATGCAGCCAGTTTTTCTCGGAACAAACGAGAACCACTTTGACATTTCGGAGAAGCTTGGACAGGAATTGTTGTTTAAAGGGGCCCTCGTTAAGAGTTTGTTCACCAATAACCCTCACATACGTATCAACACATCTGTTGCTGAGCCATATTGCCATTCGATGTTGTGGAATAAACGGTCTTGCCTTTGTCGATCAGTTAGGTCTCCAGGCTCAGAGGTAACCTTTGTTGATGTATAACAAGCTTCGGAAACATAACTAGTAAGCATACTAAGTGTAACGTACTTGTCTCAAGTCACGTGACAATGCCATCGCCGCTGCGAGGAACTTGCCGGGCAGATCCTTCAAGCTGTGTCCGTGGAAGTCAGCCTCTGCGTTGCAGGACAAAGATTAAATATTATCAGGCCACATTGGAATGAGTTGGAAAGTGGTTGGCACGAAAATCTTAGTCTTGAACGGTTTTACTGTGTTCATACAGCAAATATGATATAATTATATGTATATATAAACACCCCAAAGATATGAGGACACCAAATTGATAGTTTTACATGTTAAACAAATATATGTATTTGATATTACAACAAGGAACAGACTCAATTCATCACTTGGTTTACCAAATAAAGCTGGACACACATAAAAAGATGTCGCGATTATTAATGACTTGATAACGCTGGTGACTGTGACGCTTTTGTAATCGAAAGATACAAACATGGCCAAATCAGAGGTCAGGAATGTACGAATTCGAGGTACATTCAGAAGTTAGTCGGTGTGTTGGACAGCATTTGAGCCAAGCTGACCAGTCATCTCATGAGACATGTAGAACAGAGTACTCAGTGGTGATTCGGTGCGGACGCTTGACCGAGTGCCTTCAGCCAAGGTGTGCATGATGGAACTAATGGGGTCAGCATCAGTGTCGAACGCCTACGGAACTGTTTATTTTGGGATATTCTTTTTAATGTTGTGGTCGTGCGTACACGATTGTCAACCAGATTAATCCTGAATAAGGCAATTAACAGACTCCTGAGAATAGTTCTGAAACGTCTGCCTAATCGTCTGGGTCTCTAGGCTCTTACAGATCACCGATGTAAGTGATCTACGTGAATGATCGCGATGTACTCAAGTCTGACGGGAATCGGTGTGATCCAGCTTGTCAATGTCACATCTCGCGGTTAATACTCAGTGTAGATAATCCTGTTGTGCGACACACGTTGGCATATAGTACAAGTATTTGGTCATTGTATAATACATGTAGGAATAGGTCTCCAACACAGTGCGATAACTCGCACGAGGTATCCCATAGCGTAAGACCCACGTTAGTTATCATAGAATACGACCATGTTCCACAAACTAACTATAAATTATTGATCAGTTGTCTAAATTTGACATGATTTAGCCCAAGCGATGAATTGTCTAGGACTCATTGATGTTACCCTGACCCTACACTATACCATTAAGCTAGATTAAATCAAATCTAAATCTATTATCATATATGCAGCTTGATTATGATCTTGAGATCTCTTAATAGTGATTTCGGATCTTACTTGACTTCATTTTTATTGTCTTTCGTAGCGACGTTAATATGAGAACACAAAAATAGTTCGTGGAATTGGAACAATATATTTCCAAGCTGACTCCAGAATTATACCTAGAGTTGTGAACGAGAAAAACTGTTTCTTACCCAGGAGTACCTTATTTTTATGTAAGTGCATATAAAATAAGGTTCAATCATTTCGCTGATCACCACTATCAATGCTATTACAGGTTTCTCAGTCACTCACTTTTCTACCACGTAACATATTCAAGTTTGAGAGTGTTATATGGAAACATGATAACATACTGATTTAATAATAAATCTCTACGTGTATTTTTTTGTTCTGTAAAAGCTCTTGTTTAAGTATTACTGATATCTATAAAATTATTGAACCATTTATAATATGACGGTTGGAACCGTATATTAAAGTTTGTTTTAGTCACTTGCTTTAAAATAACCACGCTTTATAGTTCTCACTTCGTCTTCCTAAACTCGTGGCGATGGCTTCAACGAACGGCAGTACGGAGATATCTCAGGCTGATAAGAATGTAGAAATGTGGCGGATCAAAAAGTTGATCAAAAGTTTGGAGTCTGCTAGAGGGTAAGTGATTTATGACCAGTCATTTCACATATCAGTAATGGGACGAGTATGATTTCGCTCATCATTCCTCCAAAGGATCAGATTACTAGGATAGCGAAATTGTTAGCCGAGGAGTATGGGACAGCATCTAATATTAAAAGCCGTGTGAATCGCTTATCCGTCCTGAGTGCGATAACCTCTGTACAACAACGTCTGAAGTTATACACTAGAGGTTGGGATCAGTAATTTTTCATTTTTGTAGTTCCTACCAATGGCCTTGTTGTATATTGTGGGACAATAGTCACTGAGGATGGTAAAGAGAAAAAGGTCAACATCGATTTCGAACCATTTAGACCAGTAAACACGTCTTTATATCTTTGCGACAACAAGTTCCATACAGAGGTTTGCTGATTTTCACCACTCTAACGTAACTTAGGCCTTAGTAGCGCTGCTAGCAGATGACAGCAAGTTCGGATTTATTGTCGTTGATGGTAATGGGGCTTTATTTGGGACATTATCGGGAAACACTCGCGAGGTTCTGCACAAATTTACGGTAGAATTGCCGAAAAAACATGGTCGCGGAGGTCAATCTGCACTTCGTTTCGCACGTTTGCGGATGGAAAAGCGGCACAACTATGTTCGCAAAGTAGCCGAGACAGCAACGCAACTTTTTATAACAAACGATCGACCGAATATCGAAGGTCTCATTCTTGCGGGGATCGCTGACTTCAAGAGTGACTTAGGACAATCTGATATGTTTGATCAAGTTAGTGGACTGGTGAATAATAACATTTTTTCAGAGGCTTCAAGCAAAGTTGATTAAAATAGTAGATATATCATATGGTGGTGAAACAGGATTTAACCAAGCTATCGAACTGGCCACAGATACACTTTCTGGCGTAAAGTTCATTCAGGAAAAAAAACTGATTCAAAGATACTTTGACGAGATATCTCAAGTGAGCCTTAGTATATTTGTTTTACCTCTTACAAAGGATAGTGGAAAGTACTGTTTTGGCGTTGAGGACACCTTGAAGTCCCTAGAGATGGGTGCTGTGGAGACCCTCGTGGTGTGGGAGAACCTTAGTGTAAACCGCTACGTCCTCAAAGTCCCGAATTCTGAAGGTTAGTATAGTAAAGGTAATAGGGAGTTGTTACTTCACTATTTCTACTACGATGTCAGGCGCAATTGTAAGTGATAAAGTGCACTTACAATCGCAGTGACACAAAATAACGTGATCAATCACACTGATCTCTTTCTTGAGAGAATTGAGATGAGTGTGATTTTGAGTCAGTGATTGACAAATCCCAAGTTTTAGATTTGTTAGACCGAGACTCACATATGTTAAGGTTTTTGTCACTGCATTATCCTGCTTGCTTGAATTTGCTTGCAGGCAGTACACGTGACGTACATCAAATTGATGACAAGGAACAATCTTGATGCGTTGCTCTGAATTGAGCAATTGCGTAAAGGCATGGTCCTACATTATATTTAAAGCGGTTTCACACAAAAATTTCTTTCTTTCAGGAAATAGAGTTATACACTTGCGTCCTGACCAGGAAACGGACCGACGATATTTCATTGACCCGGCGACAGGATCTGATTTGGAAATTCTAGATACTCAGCTTCTTCTAGACTGGCTCGCCCTAAACTACAGATCTTTTGGGACGACTTTAGAAATTGTCACTGACAAGTCTCAGGAAGGTGCTCAGTTTGTTCGCGGCTTTGGTGGGATAGGTGGTAAGTCTGTTAAATTCAACCATTACACATCCTATAAACGTTTCGGTCAATTATGTATAAGGTTCTCAAATAGATCTGTATATTGCTTACAGGGAATGTCAAGGCAACTTTCGTCATACGCAAACTGGTTAATGGACTCGGCACCTTAATATGTGTGCTCATATCAAGTTTTCTGCCCTCCATAAATCGCTATCCTAGTGGGCATGTACTGCGTATTTTTCGTTGGTAAATGCCCTGAGTGAGACGGCAATTTAAGAGGTATTGAGGTGTCGAAGCCGCAGTCTCTTGGTTTCTGTACTGTTCACTGAAGAACGTAGTTTCCAGTCGTTGAATTATGTTTAATGGACTACTGGGATAACTTGCACTAAGAAAGGGAATGATGAATACTAAACACCATTGAAATTGAAAAGTTAAGAATGGATGATATAGCTGTAGCATATAGATCTTCACGCCGAGCCATTAACCTTCGGGATCAAGTACTCGAAGAACTGGTATCTACACATCCAATTGACACATACAACACTAGGCACTGCGGCTTACCAAAAAATGACTAATATAGATCCATTAGACTTCTGCTCTCAGTACATCTGAGTTGTCGTATCAGTATACACCTGTCTTTGATTGACCTGCTTCTGAGCTAACCTAGACTTCTGATGTATCAATTTCGTTGATTGAAACATCTTTGTCTAGTGCGCTTTGGTATTACGCATCTGTGCAAGTAACCGACAGGCAGTAGCAAATTATCTATTTTCAGGGGTATAACAATTGGATGCATTTATCTTAGTTGGGGTGCATACCCTGCAAAGTATAAATAAACTTCACTGATGAAATACTATGCACACGGAGAATGTAGAAGGGTCCTGAGTTTTTCTCATGTTTAGTAAGTTTTTACATACTTAAAAGTTATTGGTTTGCTTCTGCAGGTATTCTACGCTACCAACTCGATTTTAATCATTTGGCGGGTGGAGATGTTGATTTTGAGGATGACTTCAATCTTGATGATTACTGACAAACCAGTCCAACCTGCGGTTGGCGCAGGTTTCCGTACGGCCGTTCTCCATGGTTTGAACACAGGTTTCTAAGGATTATTCCCAAGGATGATTTTTGCAGAATTGAAAAACAGGCTTTTGAAGAGTTCAATTTAATTTCGGTTGTGATACTAAATAATTTTCTTAGTTGTTGAATGTAGTTTTTAATGTCCTTGTGCTTAGTTTCAATATGGGAGTCGACTTTCAATTCTGCGAGATGGCTGTAAGCACTGGTTAGAATCTTTCGACTTCACATGAGTACCTAAAAATGTTAGTTAAGTAATATAAAACCGACAAGATTCACCACTGCACTGCTTCAAATAACACATCTACTTCATATGGAAATGCTTCTTATACTACCTCAAAATTTACGCCCCCTAAGTTAACCTTATGATACATTGTCGTGTTTTATGGAACTAGTTTTCTTAAACTTATTTGTGCGTTTGCACTGCTGGCTTTTACATCAACACTACCAAGCGATGTATCGTTCTATTAAGCTTTGCCTGAATTCAAGTTGTTTTCTCTGGACACTGAATGCGAGAGTACGTTTTGAACTTCTGTCGCAATCAAATTAATCCGAGCTCATGACGAACTATCATCTGCTTTCGCAACATCAAGTTGTGTCCGACAAGGTTGTCCACTATCTCCGTTTCTGTTCGTTTTCATCATAGACATACTGCTGAAAATAATGTTCTCGTCGACTGGATTTTCGGGCATTGATCGCCATCCAGGAGGTTCAGTTATCGATTTGGAATACGCAGGTGATATAGTCTTGTTTGGTGAAGGCGATGGTAAAGTGCAGTCTTTCGGTAGCACTGAGCAACAATGCGAGGATGTTTGGGATGGGTTTCTCCCCTCATAATGCAAGTTGTCACTTCGGGACTGGTCTGCGTCAGCACCTGAACTAAGGATAGGGAGTGGAGTAGTCGGGCATGTTGACAACTTCACTTATCTTGGAAGTCTGATCAACCGTAATGGGTTGGTGTCTGGCGAAATCTCAGCACGGATTCAGGAAGCTTGCTTGGCTCTTACCAACATACGTGACTTATGGCGAAGGTGAGATATCCGTCTACCAACTAGAGGACGAGTACACTGCGCAGCAGTCCGTCCAGTTCTACTTTACGGCTGCGGAACGTGACCATTAAGAGTGGGAGATATTCGTAAGCTACTAGTATTTGACCACAGATGCCTTCGAAGTATTGCTCGCGTCTGCTGGGATCACCCGGTAAGTTATAGTGAAGTTAGACGCAAGGTATTAGGGAATGGTGGTAAGTCAGTTGATAAAGTTGTGGATCTTCATCGACTGAGATGAGTCACGTGTTGTGTATATCTGAACACCGATTACCACGACGTGCAATGTCGACTAGTGTCGGGGATGGTTGGAAGAAAGGGGCGGCCAAACGAAAACGTGGCATTAGCTCTTGAAGTCGCCAATTTCTGGTCTGAGTCATGTTGGTAGATACAGACTACTTGGTTGGGGTCCACGTGACTATCGTAACCAATGGTTGGAGACTGTCGGTGACATGGTTTAGAATTGACCACAATGGCGTAGGTGTACACACTGTCTTCCCTTAAACTATGAGATTAAAATTGTTTAATATGTTTATTTCTACGAACTAATTCATTCTTCCTGTACTATGTCCTTATATGCAATTTTTCTTTTATATATTATCACTGTTGAATTGACTACTTCTATGAATCCAGTGTTAATCTTGTGCTAATGAGGTATGGCAACTTGGACCGATGCACATATGTGCTGGTCCTGCGTTGTAGCTGACTAAGTGACAGCAGGCCAAATACTAGATTTGTATGCTTCCGAAATATGACAATTTCAGGATGTTAGTTCCTTCATCAGGACTCGTCCTCTATCTGTTCAGTAGTCCTAGTGCATCCTGCTAATAATCCCCTAATTAGGGGAATTATATAGCTCTTTACATCTCTAAGGTATTCAAACACCTAACTTTGAAAAATATCAAGATGTTAACTCACGTTGCTCATATGTCAGTATACCGATCAAATGCATTCCTGAATATCATGTGAGGAAATACATGTAAATGTTGGGAAACTGATATTAAGCAATTCTTAGGACATATTTAAGCTTAAAGGCAGTGCGAATAAAAAGAAAACGTTATCAGCCACTTAAAAAGGACTGTGCGTGTGCTACGTTTGCTAGATAAGCAGAAATATGAACCTAGAAATCTATATTATAATTAGGGTTTCCGTTTAGAATCAGTTACAAGTCTCCTTCTTGTCTGTGTTCTTCGAATTGTTTAGCTCTTACAAAATTAAGTGGCTTTTTGGTTGTCTACGTAAAATATTAACATTTTTTTCTCGATAACTGACTAAATGTATTAAAATCAAACGCTACATATGCAAAACATAATTTAGCGAGAAATAATACAATTCGCTTGCCAATCATAGATTATTGTCTATTTCGACAAGTTCGTGGTCAGAGGCAATTCAACAAACGATTCAGTCTCAATCACATTGCTATTATCAGATTTTAGAATATTGCGAATATCCATCTGTGTGACAGTCCCCGCCCTTCCAGACATCTGGTGTTATAATTCATATCAAAATTGAGTCTTTCGGGACGTCGAACATAGGGACTTAAGCGGAAATCATAGGGTTAATGGTTTGACTAGGAAATGTGGACATTCGGTTATCTTCATTCAGAAACTTGAGATTGATACCAACACATCTTTTCGATATCTTTAAACAATTGCACCGTATACTGAAAACTTGAGACTACTCGTTAAACATTTTCCGGTTGGTGTTATGGTTATACTTTCGGCTTGATAGCATCAATATAATTTATATCACTCATTTAAACTCAACTTTCTGTGGTGTGCACGACTTTCGAACTATGGGTTGGTTCAGATATTTCCATCTTGTGTTTCTGTCAGTCTTCAGTAATAAGGATAGGAGGTCTATCGACCTATATGAATTCTTGCAGTTTGTAATACTGTGTTAACAGAGGGTGCTGATATTACGTGTTCCGGTAATTCACTGCTCGGTGCGAGAGACGGAACTCCGGACGTAAACGATTTTGTCTCGGTTTTTGAACTTTCTTCGAATGTCCTCTCAAATGATCGGTCCTAGACGAAAGCAAGAGATAAGACACGTTAATACCAAGGTCATCGTTCAGTATACGATAAGCCAATATTAAATCATCCCGTAATCTACGGTAAGATAACGGAAATAAGTTAAGGTGTCTCAGTCTGTCTTCATAAGATAGGCCAGACAGACCCTCTACCATCTTAGTACCTCGTCCTTGAACTATTTCCAGCACATCTGCTTCATACTTGGAACAAGGACACGCTGCTGGAAAGACTTACGAATTGACCATAATACCCTATAGCCTTTTGCAGCAGCAGCTTTACAGTGACTAGTGGTTTTGAAATCATTGCTTAATACGATTCCTAAATCTTTCTTTGGGTAGCACGAATCCACGTAGTGTATAGTGATACGACTCATCAGAGTTATTTTACCACATCACTACACTCTTATTAGGATTTACTTCTAGTGACCACCTGTCTAACCATACCACCAATGAGTTAAGATCATCCTGTAATACCACTCTATCCAATATACTATGTATAGGTCTCCAGATCCTTATGTCATCAGCGCAGAGTAGGACGGATGGTTTTGCTACAGTTGGCAATTCATTTACATAAAGTAAAAAGAGAAGAGGGCCTAGGACTGTACCCCACTTTTTACAGGTACCCACGAGAAGAGAGCCCCATTAACCCTACCATGCATCAGTCCTAACTTCAAGTTTCATATTGAAGTCAAAACTAGACTTCTGGCGAAGTATCAGTTGATAACTGCGAAATCAAGCCACTCATCTTCACGATCGATGTTACCTCTAATCTGTTCGGACAGCGACAGGATTCCGTGGGGCAGGTAATTACAATTGACCACCATGTAGTGATATGTAGCGTTTGTTCAGTCCTTTATTAATAGTCTAGACGAGTCACTTAAATTAATGTCCACGTTGTAACTTGGTCGACTTGACGGACAAGGTTGCTCACTATTAAGTGACAAGTCAATTGTAGATAGGCTCAATTCTTAAAGCTAAGCAACCCAGTTCAAGACTGCTCGCAGAAAGTAATTTTGACTGAAATATTCTGGTAGTAGATCAATTAACAGTGGGAGAAATAATACCGTCCATGTTCGTTCACTGTTATTTAAGCCACGTTATTCATCATTAATCATATTAACTTGATGTACGGAATAGAAAAAATTGAGACCAAGGTACCCTAAAATGTGCGTAGACTTTCATATATCCTTTTACAATTAAAATTGGTACTTAGTTTCCACTGAATGCGTGCTATATTTAAGAGGATAGAATATGTACCGCAACTAAAAAATCGCTACTACCTACCGTGACATTTGCAAAAATCAATTTATTTATTATAATTAGTTACAGTAGTGACTAAACTTATAGTTGAGAGTCGACCAAATTTAATTTGTAGTCATAACAGTTGGAGGGTTACGTTTTCAGGCAGCTGGTATATTTAACGAAGCTTGAGGGCAATCAAGTTGAACATCCCATCACAAGATTACTTAAACCTACCAACTTATAATTCACACATAAATATCGAACTTTTGTCTGAATAACAACAGACTCATTAGCACTGCTATATTCCAGTTAACTCTTTTTAAGAGATGAATAACAAATTTCTAAATTGATTGTCTTTACATCTTTGAGTTAAAATGTTTCGATAATCATAAATACCCTTAGGATAATATGTGGCTTTTAACAAACATTGCTACCTGATTATTTGTGTTAGACCACTTCACATTAAGATGTCCCAATTTCCGTTATCACATGAATGATATTTTTAAACTTAGTAACTTGTTAACAGCTAAATGAATAGCATGAATTAATTATTTGCCGTTACATGAATTTATATTATTTTTCAACGTTTAGATTACTGTGAGAACTTTCATTTAGGAAATTATAGCGGTCTTATTAGAGATAGTCATCTACATTTGAGGTTTACATAAATGTTTAGATTGAGACCTAAACTGGAGCACTAGGATTATTTCCAACTTTCGTTAGGAAACTATTCAATTAAGCCATTGTATATTCAGATATATGTAGTAAGAATAAAAGGCCTATGGCATTCCTTTCCTAGTCTGCTTCTGTG